GAGAGAGAGAGAGAGAGAGGGAGAGAGAGAGAGAGAGAGAGAGACAGAGACAGAGAAAGGGAGAGAGAGAGGGAGAGAGGGAGAGAGAGAGAGGAAGAGAGAGAGAGAGAGAGAGGGAGAGACAGAGAAAGGGAGAGAGAGAGAGAGAGAGAGGAAGAGAGAGAGAGAGACCACAACAATGTGAAAAAAACATCAAATTTCTGTGCAGTCACTTGCGCGAGAGAGGGAGAGAGAGAGAGACAGAGACACCACAACAATGTGAAAAAAACCATCAAATTTCTGTGCAGTCACTTGCGTCTATATCATGATATCTGAACAATACTTCTAAATGACTCTATATTTCACGTATGGACAGTAAGAAAACAGGTCACAGTCAATGGTCGCAGCTTCTGAATAAATAAAAAGTCAGAATTAATAATTCAAACTGCACCATGTTGTTCATACAGTGTGTCGTCATCAGGACGGTAGTTGCGGAAGTAGCCAGCAGCTCTGTAGAGGATGAGTCCAGCTTAGCGACTGCGCAGGGTGGATGCGTGAGCTCCGGGGCTGTTATTCCAACACTCAGGTGGGGATGGATGATTCCGAAACATGATCCTCTGAGATCCGTTTCAGTCTCAACAGTTTCGATTAATTTCTGTCTTATCTCAGGCCCCGTTTTAATTGGGCAGGTCAGTAGGTATGGGCGCACTGCAGTCCTTACCTGGTCAACCAGAGCATATTGATCTGGCGGAAAAGACGGGCTGTGAGTAGTCTTTATTATTGTTTGCGTTGGCTTTAATCGCTTCTCGGTTAGATATGTAGGATGTGTGAAAACATGAGCTCACTTCACCGGAAACATCTGTCTAATCTTCTATTCCGACTTATCTTAAAGAGGAAATACGACCACTTCAACGATATGTCTAACCTGCTACTTGCCCTGTTCTATATTTAGTAATTACACAGGTCCAGCATCTCTCTGTCTATTATAAACCAGTCTGGAGCAGCAGCAATAAGTATTCTAAACTGCAGGTTAATGGGAGTGCAACTTTACCTGGTTTACAGCGGGAAGTGCACAGCAGACACTGAAAGCTCTAAAGATTAATCAAACATAAACTTGCCTATTATAATTTTTCTATACCTGTGACTCTGTGACACTTGTAGCCTGTGATGAAAGATGAAAGTGATAGTTGTAGGGTCCCTGGCAGAAAACCCTGTGTTTTACATCCAATATGAATATTCAAATCTGATGCCTTGACAGCGTCCAGTGTTGCATGAATCATAAACAACAAATGATTCATACTTTAAAGGGCTTTAGTCTCGCATTGTGTCTATTTTTGCACACAAATTCACCTGTGATTTAATTGTAGTCTGCACACAGTTAATTAGTCCTAAGGGTGGCTCTTTCTTGTTTTCAGTTTCATTGGAACAGATTGGAGTCCTACATAAAAGATTCAGACAGCTGAGCCATAATGAAGAAACTCTGCGGTAAGGAGAGCTCCTGGGCCCCGGGTTAGAAAGATGAATTCAGTCATTCATCCATGGAAACGGCTTGTAGGAGATATATATAATATGACACTATGTGCCACTTTTTGAAATCTTTTTTACCACCCATCTCTAGGAGAGATCACTTCAATGAAATCCCAGATTTAGCATGCAATCCAATACGTGCACAGATCATAGAGGCTTTCTTTGACAAAAGGTACAGTGATGAAACCTAATTCTCAAAATGAGTAACAGAATATTTTTGAACTACTGTGCTATATCTTTGACTTTATGACAGTTTTTTTGAAATCTATCATAATGTAGTATAAAAGTTAAAGATTTTCTTAATGTTACTGTCAGAACTTTAGTATTTGTGCTCTTTTTTTATTCCTCTAGAAACTATCGTCAGAATGGTGAAGGGACGGTCGAGGAGATCAGCTTTGAGGACTTCCTGGTGGTCATGTCCCATTTCAGACCCCCCTCAGTTCATATGACAGAGGAACAGCGTGAGAGTGTCAGGAGGGAGAAACTCCGATGTGTGTTTTTGAAACGATCACATGATCACGTACTTGATATTATCTGTGGCTGTGCACACAGCCGTTAAATACTTGTGTTTTTCTCTGCAGTTTTATTCAACATGCATGACACAGACAATGATGGGACAATAACCCTGGAGGAATACAGACATGTAAGCCTCTGCTTACCTCTATGAACAAAGTATGCTCCATTCATGGCTTCTTAAAGCTAGTGTGCATATAACCAGTCAAGATTACATCAGTGTTTTCTCACAGTCTGGGAAAACCACTGTGTAGTCCCCATGGGCTAATCAGGTGGGGTAGGCTTTTACTTTTAAAGGTATTTAAGATGCACATTTAGCACAGCAGACTGAAGTAATCTCTGTTTTATATGTAGCTCCACAGTTGGTTATTGAGCATCTCCACTTCAGCACTTGGGAGTCAGCTGCCTTCCTGCTACACACTTAGTTGGCAGCTAATGAGAGAAGGGAGGAGAAGGGATTTCATTTCCTCAACCCTTTGAAGATCAAGGATTTGAGTCTTGTAGTCATTTTATTTCTACTGCTCTTCACATCTGACCAGGTGGTGGAGGAGCTGTTATCTCGCAGTGGGGCACTGGGCAAGGAAACAGCCAAAGGCATTGCTGATGCAGCCATGTTGGAGGTGGCCAGTATTTCAGTGGGTCACATGGTATGTAAGCTATAATATCTCAAGATAGCATATCTCAAGATAGTCTAGACAATGTCAGTACATCACTTTTTCATACACAGGAACCTGATGAATTCTATGAGGGGATTACATTTGAGCATTTTCTCAAGGTTGGTACACAGAATACACTTTTGAATGTAATCTAAATGTTTGCTTGTTTCTTAGCTGGAAGTGCATTTACTGTCAGGGTCAGCCAGTAAAGCTACCCACAATGTTAACGGTGGACTCAATTACAAAGCCAGGCGAGATGGGGTAAAGAATATTGCTTTACTGTATTCACTCAGAAAATACACAGTGATAGTCCAGAATCCAATATCCACGTCAAACAACAGTCCAGGGTCAATACCGGCAAACGAGCACAGCCAAGGGATCCAAAAACGGGAGGTCAAGAAGCTGGTCCAGTAGTCGGTACACAGGATAAACATTCAACACTCAGGAGAGCTAGGCAGAAATCAGTAGTCAGGAAACAATCTGGGGTCAATAACATGAATCACTAAAGCCAGAATAACGCTGGAAAGTCTGCATGAAAACAAGAACAATCTGGCAGGTTACTGATGGGAGAAGGCTGCTTATATTGGGGTGAAAACAGGTGCAGGCAATTAGCACTGATTACTGTAAAGAAACCATAAGATAAACCTAGAACAGGAAATGGTGACAAAATAAGAGCCTAAAACAGGAAGTGGTAGAACAGAACCCTGACATTTACATGGTCTTATACTTGTATAGTGCTTTTCTATGCATTGCAGCACACTCAAAGCACTTTCAAACTCTTTGGCCATTTACCCATTCACGCCCTGGTGTCATCACCAGGAGCAACTGGGGGGTTCAGTGTCTTGTTCAAGGACACTTCAACATGTGGACTGGAAAAGCCAGGAATCGAACCGCTAATCATCCGGTTAGGAGACCACCCATTCTAACTCCTTAGTCACAGCCACCCCCAAATATGTAAATATACAGACATAACGTGTCTCAGTAAGGTGCTGGGCCACCATGTGCCACCAGAACAGCCTCGGCTTTGATTCTCCAAGCCTCTGAACTCTACTGGAGAGATGAACACCATTCATTTCCTTATTTGGTGTTTCCAAAATCTCCCATCGGTGTTCAGCTGGGTTAAGATCTGACTGTGAAAGCCATAGCATATGATTCACATCATTTTCTTACCACTCATCAAACCATTCAGTGTCTCTTCGTTCCCTGTGGATAGGGGCTTCCTGAAAGAGATCGCTAATTGGTTCAGGCTTTTCCTTTCCTTTGTCACCTGTGTAGTTGATATGGATCATACTGAATGAATTGGCATGAGTTACAGTTTTAAATAATGTAAAACTCTTCTTTTTTTAGTTGCTGAATGGCTTTGAAATTGAATCAAGGATGAACATTCGCTTTTTGAATATGGACACGACAACACTGTGTAAGTGAGACTGGTACTCTAAACTATGCAGTAACTTTGCAAAGACTAAGGGCAAACAATTATGGTTTCACTGTACTAGCTGTTGTTTTTTACACTAACCTTTGTTGCTTGCACTGAATATATGCCTTACTCATGTTCAAATAATGCAAATCCAAAGAAAATGTATGCTATATTGTGGATGCATTAGAAGTCATTCATTTGACATTGGACTGTATTTTTTAAATGGACTGTATTTTATATAGCGCTTTCTCACAGTGTGTTGCACTGGCCAAAGCGCTTTACAGAGATGATACACCATTCACCCATTCACACACAACATTCACACACTGATGACGACAAGCTGCCATGCACCGGCGCTAGTCAAGCCACCAGGAGCAATTCGGGGTTCAGTGTCTTGCTCAGGGACACTTAGGCATGCGGGGAGACCGGGAGTCGAACCACCAACTTGCTGGTCAGGAGACGACTGCCCTACCTCATGAGCCACAGCCATTAATTAGTAAGAAATATTATTTAACAGTTTAATTTGCCTCTCAGTAGTTGGACAATGCAATAATCAAATATCCATGTCTGGACTCACAGATAGTATGATTCTATGCTTGTGAATGTGGATCTTTGACAAACCTTTACAAATGTTTAGGCCATAAATAATGGCTATAAATAATCAGGGATATAAAGGTCTGTCTTTTTATGTATTTACACCTGTCTAATAATAATCAGACAGTCATTTAAAATGCCTTTTACTGTATTGATACTAATCTGTCACTTGACACCATGCACGCTCTGAGCTCTACATTTGCACAATAAAGAGATCTGACTCATCCTGATAAAAAGGAAATGGGAGTGTTGTCATGCAATATTAAATGCTTTGAAGGCAAATGTCATCAGTTCTAATTTCAGAATAGAATGGTGATATACTGGTGATATACTATATAAAATGATTTTAATCAGATTTATTTTATTTACGTCCTGTTTCACCTCACAGTGATTATTGTAACTTTTTAAAAACACACGTAATCAGTAGTAGAGACAAATAAATAGTGTTCAGTTTACATGAAGCTTGCAAACAAAACATCAAGCAGCTCACGCCAGGCTTTCACTGTACTCTCAAGAGAGTGAATGACTCATGGAAATAATCTTTGTTAACTGTGGGCACTGCGGTATATAATCTCATTACAATAAATTTGGAACATTCTTTTTAACAATGCAGCAAAGTCACAACACACGTTGAGTTGTAGAACGTGGAAAATTGTAATCATGATTGTTAATAGTCTACTTTACAGATCCTTTCTATTCTGGCATATAATACAAGTGTATCATGTGAAGCTTTTTAAAAAAAAGGCTCCAAAGCCTTTACAACAAAGGGGGAAACATAAAAAAATCAGTATGAAAGCAAAGTAAGAATAAATGCAAGTCAGAAAATGGGAAGTCATGTGTATCCTCTTGGTCAAGTGGTTATTGATGGTGATGCCACTATCAAAACCACTGGTGTTAAAAATGGGAAGTCAGAAACAAACACAGGTTTATTGACAAGAAGGAGCATTAAGATATGTTCCTGATTTCCTGGAAAGCTGCTGCTGTGGTCCTGCACTGACTCATTCTTGAAATTCAGTTATTTCCTTTAGGACATCTATCAAGATGTTTTTATTAAGTCTCTGGATTTTCGTGTTATGTGCATACTGGTATTCTGTCTGTATTCTGTGTTGGATTTAAACACTTTTTTATATTTACAGTGAATGCTAAGTGATAAACTGTCTACAACGGCCAGTGATACCTAGCAGCACTTCAGTAAATACATGGGTGTATACTGCCCTCTACAGGTCAAATCAGGGAACAGGTGTTATTTAATAATGGAGTTTCATCTGATTCACTAATAATATTTGTAAAATGTACCATTAGTGCTTTTCAAGATTCAAACTGTTTATTGTCATATGCACAGTATGGAAACGTGTTTCCCTGCACAATGAAATTCTTACTTTGCCGTCCACACTAAATGCCAAACAACACAAGTGAAATATAAAGTAAATAAACAGTAGCACAAAATCTAAAGGCACTTTCAATGTGGTACATGTTTTTTGTTTGTTTGTTTGTTTGTTTGCAGGCTCTCGTCAATTTTAATGATTAGATTTGTCACTTATGCACCCTATGGCATCATTTAGGCATTTACTTTATACAGTTCTTGTAGTAAATTATGACATGTAATTGCTAACCAGTCACGCTGATTCATTTTTCAGTCATGATCACAGGCCATCTTTCTTTGGCTCTTTAGGGAAACACCGCTGCAATGATCCATCATATAAGAGCGGGTTACGTAGTTTTCTCATTTTAGAATCACTAAAACTTTGAACATTTGGTCACCATCTTTTTAAGGTCTGTATTGAATTTTGCCAAAACGTCACTGATCATTTAATTGTTACAGATATTGCAACAGAAGTGTTTTTTCATATTGACATGGGAGTCTTCATTGATTTTAATGTAGCATATTGCTCCATTTAGTTTACATCATGCTTTGCGAAGGTGATTGCATTTTTAATTTCATGTCTAAATGAAATAATTTGTTGCACCTTCTTCCCTGCCTTCACTCAGCCAGCACAACACAGACAATTAGGTAGTCTGCTAAAAAAAAGTTTTAGCAGAATCTGACACTTTGTCATACTGACGCTATAGATTGATGACAGGTGGGTCACAGAAACTGTAGGTGCTGGATTCAGTCTTCAGCCTCTTTCAGGTCTGTTAAGGTTTGCATGTTTTGTTTTATTTTGTTTTTTTCTGTGTTGGCAATGAAATTATGCAAGTTATCTGTGAGACAGGTGCATTTGAGAGTCCAAGGAGCCTCAGCTTCATTTTCACAAATGTGGTTTCTGACATCATACCCCTTTTAGATCCTGTAATACATTAAGTGGGTAGTGAAAAGAGATAAAAATACAGACATTAGAATGAAGGTTGCCCTGAGGTACCCTCTGTGTTTGTGCTTTAAATAAAGCAGAGTTATAACAGGGAACTTGATTCATGACCCAGAGTGAATGCCCCATCTACTTCCAGTTTACCGAGAGCTTGTGATCTGAGGAAAGTTTAGTTACACATGACTGCATTTCAACCAAAATACTTGGTATCTGTTTTATATACGTGTATGTATAAATGGCAAGTTATTCTTAATGTGTCTGTCATTCAGCTATTTAAAACAGGGGTTTTCTGCAGAATTTCGGTGACTCCTCTGTTTTCCCCCACCCTACACTTACATCTCCATCTATATCAGGATGCAAGTGTGCACACCACACACTGGTAACACATACAGTTATCTGACCCACACCCATCCATACCTTGTGACCGGCCAGACGGCCCGCCAGTTTCATGAAATCTTTCCTATCTGATGCAGCCTTGTGTTGAAAACATGCGTCACTCTGAGCCTGATATCACACAGTCAGCGTCTTAGCAGCTTCCCGATTTTCTTTTAACTCCTCCTGATGGACTGAATTTGTGCAGAAAACAGCACATGATGCTTCAAGCACAAATTAGACTGTTCTTTAATATTTTTTTTACACTTGCCAATAACAAACAAAAAAACCCACAACTTTTAACCTTGTAAACAGTGTAGAAACAGATCATTTGATTCCAACAAAGACGGATGAAAAGCATATAAATCTGTACAGAAATAAATCAAAGATCAATATGAAATAGAGCTACAAAGTATCTTTTATTACTTCTGTATACAGTAAAGACATTTACATCAACATGGAGCCTTCCATAACATATTAGATATATTAAATAACTGGCATAGAGATCAACTTTATACTCATCATCATTTAACAGCACTCCTTTTGTCCAAAACACACAAGAAAATAAATATTAAATACCATAAATACACTCTATTATACTGATGTACCAGCCACCTTCATACTCACTTATCTTTTTAAGTTTTAATCAACCCAAATTATTAATATAAGTGTTGGAAATTGTCTAAATCCAGCCTTAGGTTGTTCTCAGAAGAAGAGTAAGTTGAGGTGGACCCTCCTCCTGCACACTTTACTTTTGAGAGTCCTCAGTTCTTTGGAAACATTTGAAAGGAACTCCTTATAGGTCTGCAGGACCGCACAGCCGTAGACCTTCTGCTGGAAGATGTTCTGAGGTGGAGGTAGTGTTGTCGGCCCCCCTGCTGGCTCTGGTACAGGCAGGTTTGGGAAAACGCTCTGATAGAAATTGTTTATGAGAACAGCCAGGCTCCTGCTGCGAGCGCTGACACCAGTGAGCTCGGTCAGCAGCGGGCTCGCTGGTGGCTGTAAGTCTGTCTGCTGCTCATACACTCGTTTGAAATGTGGGAAGAATGCTTGGAGATGTGTGTAGATGCTCACTATCCTCTCGGGAGGGTCCAGGCCAGAGATGCTGGGATCGGGGATGTTGTTAACTGACACCTTGCAGAGGAGCTCTGACATTTCTCCTTGAGAGGCTTTCTGAAAAAAAGGACAGGAGCATAAGCAGTTGGCATATAATGAAGAAAAAGTAAAGTACTGAACAAGCACTTTATGGCCATACTCACATATGTTTTGATTAGGTCAACAGATTCCTTCTGTATGAGTCTGGTGAGCTTCAAGGTCGGTTGCAGAAAATTCCCACACTGCTGGTTTCTGCTTGCTGCCACAGTTTTTGTTGAATCAACAGCCATAACCAGCAGGAGAGAGAGTAATGCTGAGGAGAAAGGAACTGGTTAAGGTTATCCTACATCACATTAGTGAGGGGAACTTGGCTTTTAAACCACAAACGGAGGTCAGTTAAAAATAGATTCTTCACCTAGCGGTTTTCCAGCCAGTGAATAAACAACAGCACGTGTCTGTGTTACCATTTCTGATGTCTTCTACAAGTAGTTACTACAGTTATATGTGTAGTCTGCTTAGATGCCCTCAAATATTGTCAGTCTTGTTATTGGCCAGATTCTTCACATATAGTTTGCAAACTAATTTACTTCATTCATGCAGGCACAGTGGGCAAAGAAGCACTTCATTTGAATGTGAAACTTCAGTCAGTTTCACAGCAGCTATAAGACACCAAAAATAACAATAGCGTGCACAATGGCAAGAAAAGCTGCAATAATGTTTAACTTTTATTTTAACAGAAGAACAGATGTAATGAAACTTACTTGTTGCTGGTCCCATAAACTGTTGAAAATGCATAGTCTTTACATGACCATTCATTCTCCGCTCAGTAGTCACAGGCAAATTGTGTGGACTCGTCATAATCACACTCCTTTGAAACTTTATGAACGACTGAAACCGCACATTTGTCATAGGAAATGACGTGCACTTTGTGAGGCAACCAAATTTCCCAGAATTTCCTCCTTTTTTTTCAGATGCACATTTTTTTCTTTCTTTCTTTGACATGAAACAAACGGGCTGTGCCTCTACATGCCTGTCCACAGAGCAAGCATGTAGGGGCATGGTCTAATCATTATCAATCACAGATGTGACCCCGTAGTGGAGCAAAAATGATTATTTTAATTTTTATTTGTGCATGAAAAAATATACACATATCTGATATGTTTCAATTGCTTGAGGAATATGAACCTGCTGGATTAGGAAACAGTGCCAGAAAACAATGTAAGGACTAAGGTCAGCCTACCCTTTGACACAGTTCATTTACATGCTTATTCACTGCCCTCTAGAGACAGTGGCTGAGAAGGTGAGAACTTAGTGGGCATGAAAAAGTAAAAGTGAGTTTGCCACAACACTCAAAGCTGCATGAAGATGTTTTTATGCACTTTCTACATTATAAGACAACAAAGGCACCTTAAGCCTGTAAGGTTCCTTCAATTCAAGTGAAGTGAAGTAAAAATCTACTAACATTTGGGGACTGGTTCTTTCAGTGGTTTTACTGGCTGAAATATGACATTGGTAATTTAATAATAACACCAAACTCATGCAATTATTAGTGTCCAGATGCTGCAACAGTTAACTCACAAAATTTACCTCAATATAATCAAGAAATTCAAACATGACACTAGTTTTTGAAATGTAGGTTGAGATCAGTGTTTCACACCTTCTCCTGTTTTTAGTAACCAGCTTTTTTGGATTTAGTCATTACCGTTACACCGTCATTTTGCAACCACATTTTCATTGGGTATTGTGCAGGAAGCTGGCAAAGGTCACAGGAAATGCCTTTCTCAATCAACAACTTTTGTAAAGGGGTGAGGTCTGCTCAGCCAAAGTAGGCAATATGTCAAGCTTCTGACTGGCTGTGTTCGCATTATCAGGGGATGAGTTCATTGTGACCTGTTTTGTGATTTGTTTGGGGTAGAATATGAGGAAACAGGAATGTGTAACATACGTATGGCAACAACGCAAACTGGGTTTTTCATGTGTTGCCTAACGTCATCACTGTCATCATTAAAACTAACTTCTAGAAATGCCTGGAAGCGCCATATGATTTGTTTAGCCAGCTGTCTGCATCATGGGTTTGTTAAGAGATCAGACTACAGGACAGAAACATGTTGTTCTGTGTGGGAGCAACAGGTTAACGTTGTAGTGAAACTGAAACAGCTCACTGAGACGTACAGCAACATCATCTCTATGTTTCTTATGATCATAACATCTTGGTTTCAAGCATCCACACTATAGAGGGTGTGTTTCAGTCAAACCACTGACTGCTTGAGAAAAAACAGGAAATATTTTTGTGGATATGTCTGGAATTATGTGTGATTACATACTGACTGTTGTTACATGTTTGAAAGAATAAATAAATAAATAAAATAAAATAATAAATGTGGTTTGGTGAAAAGATCAATAAAAAATAAATAAAAGTCCCAGATCAACCTCTAAATCAAGCAGGTTTACCCTGAAACATAAAGACGTCTATAAAACACTGAATACTCTGCAATTTAACTTCCCTCTCAACTCTTGCTCCTATTTCAAAGTTCTGGTTTTCACAAGTTATCTTTGACCTGCATGCATGTTTGTAGATTAACGGTAAATTATAATAACATTTGATACAATGTAGGCCACAGCGGTCATATTTCACCAAAGAAAAATAAATGTGAAAAGCCCTCAACCACATGAGAAAGCATTACAAGGAAATTCAACCACAAGCAATAAGAAATGCACTGTAATAAGATGCAGGATGTTGACTGAGACTCTTTTTTTTCAACAGAATCTCTTTTATTTTGTCTTTTAACTGCACAGGAAATGGTGTATAAGGTTGTTTAGGAAAGTCCCTTTTACTCTAACTAAATACATCTTTCTAGTAACATAAAATTCACACAAATTTTAAGGTTCATAATTGTTCTGAAGCCCTCTGTGAAACCTTATTCAAGCACCCCAAAAGCACTTTTTTTTGTCCACAAGGCTTCAGTTATATGTGACCAGACAAAAGGCCTTACTGCATATGAGAAACTTTTCATCAAATTTCAAAAAAGATTGTGAAAAAGGCTGAAAAATCTAGAGGAGCCGTCCAACACATTCTGGTCAAACAAATTCAGAATTTCAATTTCTACATGTAAAACGAGAGGATTTGAGTTCTATTGCCTTCAGAAATGATATTTGAATCCCGTTAAATTCCTCTATTCAAAATACTTTGTGATTTCAGGGTCATACTCCACCTTTCAGCCCTATGAGGAACATGACTAAACATCAATACAAGTTGTGGCTCTGAAATGTAAAAAACAGGTAAAGAAATACCTGTCAAACATAACAGGGCTGCCTTCAAGACCACCACGCTAAACATTGTTTCAAAAAATTGATCCGTGATAAAATAGCATTTATTTTTTTCATATATGTATTTCAATGTTAGAGGGTTTCACTGCATGGGGTACTCTAAATATGTCATGAGTGTCTGAAAAACTTAGTAGTGTTTTGAGTCAGAGGGGGTTCAAAATGCTTCAGGTTTACATTTTGCAAAAATCAATTGCCTCTCCAAGACAAAACACTACAAGGCTAAAGGTGGTATTAGAAATTAAGCACCAAACAATTATCTTTCCATTCAGTATAAAAGGAAATATTGTGCAACCTGTTCAATGACCTCAATGAACATGGCAAAGAATATGTAAATCTGATCAATAGACACGAATTACTCAAATGCAATCTGGACCCACGTTGTTGTGTTTGCTTTTGAAGAACCACTGACCTGAAAAAGATCACAATACTGATACTATAGGAAGTCTGCGGTTCCATTTACCAGCATTTATACAATCTGAGAGTCTAGTGATTTGACGTAGCATTATATTGAGCTATTGTCTGACCATATCTCTATATTATAAAACAAAAACAAAGCAAAGTCTTTATCTTTAAGCTTTGTTACAGTAATAGACCAGTGTCTCTGTATGTTCTAGCAATATTCTCATGTACAAATATTCATATCAAAAGTTATACATCACAATTCTCACTATTTTCCTTTACAAGAACTTTGATTAGTGAACATTAAATGATTCACAAGTTCAGATGAAATCAAAACAAAACAGTGCCAGCCTCAGTAAATAAAATATAAATATAACAAACACGTAACTAAAATCTGCTTCCGGCACAACTTAAATAAAGGCATTTGTGAAATTATCATATCAAATATGGCGCTTATGTCCAGTATCCATAGGCTTAAAAAAAATGCTATGACCACTTTTATTTACAAACAGCTTAAATCTCTGACAGATTCATGCGTCACTTCACAACCTGAATTTGTCCTTAAAGTGCATGCAATAATAAGCAGTTTTAGCAAGTGGAATCTTGATTTGTGATAAGATAAACAGGTTGATCAAGCTAATGCCAATTGATCCTACATATTGAATAAAAGAAAAGGTAAGAACTGTTGCCTACAAAAGTGAGGGACCACAGTATACTGTATGCATAAGCACAATATGGAATAATGACCCAAAAGAACCCTTAAAACAGTGAATTAACTCTGACTTTATCCAGTGACCCCCATACAGTAATATTCACATTCGGAGCATAAAATAAAACAACTAAATAAAATAAAGCTGATAAAAAAGACAAAGCAGCTTAACACCAGGGGAAGTCCGCAGCTCACATTCCACAATGTCCCTCCAACTAACTCACACAGTATACATCATATGAACATGATGGGTTTCTACTTAAACATATCAAAGTGCCCATTTTACTAAAATTTCCTGATTTATTCGATTCATACCAAATGGCATGGAGGAAAGAGAGTCTTATTTCAGTTACACTGACTAGGTTTGACTTTTATTGTTGACACGTTGTTGTAGATTCTTTTATTTGTTGCACAAAAGAAGTTCTCATTGCACGTAACACCTCGAGAAGAAAAGCAAGTTATCCAGCTCTGTCACTGTGGGTGTGATGAACGGTCAAGTGGAAATGAAAAGGGCATAGATATGCTGTCCTCTAAAGATAAATCCACTTTCATCTGTTGTCTTCTTTGGGGAAGTCCAGAGATCCCAGGCTTCCAAAGCCGAGACTTCTACTTTCTACTTCGAAGGCGGCAATTTCTCTGTCCTGTCGTTCTAACAAGTGCTTGATCTTTTCAGTACGTTCCTTCTGAAGTGCGGCCAATTCCTCTTCAATCTGTAATCAAAAATCACGGTGGTAGTTATTTCATCATATGGACACCAAATCGGAGCTCACGTTTTGCCCTGCGGGACACCGTAGCCAGTGACTCCAGCGCTTTCACAGTAAGATGTCCCAACAACAGCTACTTGCCAGATTGTCATGAAATTTAGTATAAATATTTCACATTGGCAGATCAATTTTAATCATGGATTAATCATTTGAGCCATTTTCAGACGGAATGTGTTCAACTGTATGTGAAATCCAATTAGCACATTGCTATAATACACTGTACTGTACTGTAACGTACAACATGCTTGCTAATGCTCCCTTGTGGATGAACCTTTTCCATTGCATAGCTTGTGAGTATGATTACCTTTGCGCAAGGACTTCAGCAAGAACAAACTTTTTTGTATTTATATATTTTTGGAGGCTCAGGTTTCACCTCCAGTAGGAGCTGGTGGAACCCCCACGGCCATCCCGGGTGCAAACTCTGCCAATTCACTGGAACACATGTCCAGTCCAAACATAACCAAAGTCACTCATGGCTGAACCTTGCAACCTCTAGGGGCCACTAAATTGTAAAATCAATAAAACAAAACTAACAATGTCAAAATACAAGGTTTCTACTTTCACATTTATGTCTTTCTACAATAGTGAGGTATGTTTTTTTTATACAGTTTGGTATTATGCTGCATTTATTTCAGTTATTTTACAATGGCTTCCATCCTAAACCCACCTTCTGTTCAAGGTGTGCTCTGCGTATGGAGACCTTTTGCTCAAGTTTCTGCTGCTCTCGTTCATGTTGGGTCTCCATCTGTGACGTGGCTTTTCTCTGGTAGGCATCCAAGAGCTCCATCTCTTGCTTCAGCTGCTGCTTCAGAGCTTGGCACTCGGTTTCCTGCTCTGCTTCTAATCGCATCTAGAGACCCAGCAAGACAAAGGTAGTTACAAACACATTAACAACAATCCTAGGTTGAGCCTGATTTCTAAAACTACAGGCCAACAATTTTTAGCAAAGATTTAATGCATGAACTGTAGCATTAAACAGCAATATGGAAGCCGATGCACATATAGTTTACATCTTATAGTATACTATAAGGCTCATGTGAAGTGCAAATATTCTGTACAAGTAAATATACAACATACAAATGATGAATGAGGCCCACTTTTGCTATTCATGACAAGAATAGCAAATAGCTTCGAGCTCATCATACCGCTTGTGAAGCCATCATCTCGTTGATGCTCCGTTCGTACTGCTCAGCCAGTACAGCCAGCTTACGTGTCTGCTCCTCTTTTAGGTTCTTCAGGATGCTCTTATGGTCGCCCTTGGGAGAGACCTCCAGCTGATGGTTCCTAAGTGCTTTGTACTGCTTGTTCTGCACCTTGCAAGTGTCCTGGAACTGTTTCTTGATCTGCATCTCCAGCATCTGCAAAGGGTAAAAATAAATAAATAAATAAATCTTAATGTGTTAGTTTAAGGTTCTGCCTGACAACCAAACGACTTGTGTGCATTTAATTTCACCTTGTTCTCAAGCTGCCATTCAATGTTGAGTAAATCATTTTAAAATGGTATTAATTATTCATTTGTTAATGAATCTGTTTGTAATGCTGTCAAACATTTCAGTTTGCATAGGTGCAGTAAGATTTTCTATTCCCACTGTATAAAAATACTGCTACTAGATAAAAGGAGAGGAAATGATTTAAATTTGATATCACTGAAATGTTTTGTAAGATACTGTTCTCATGGCAACATGGTTAATTAGTTCTACAGTTTTCTATCTGGGAATTTAAAATAAAAATACAAGGTATATTTTCGGCAAACAAAATGTCACAATGCAGGATAGCAGAGGTGGCAGATGCACGGTACCTGCAGAATTTTCTTTTTAAAGCCAGTATGTAATCCTCTTATCATGACCTATACCATACCCTTTTTACAGGCAAACTTTTTAATACCTCTTGAAATGAGGTTAACTGGATATCAACTTACTAAACAACCACACAGTGTATAGTGGCAAAGATGTTCCAGGCACCTTGAGGTTTCTGGGCTGCTGCCGCTGCTCCAGACTGTGTTTTCTGTGGAGTTCCCTCTGCCGTCGCCCATTGTACTCATCCTGGTTTTCGAGCTCTGTCTGGTGCTGCAGCCGCATGAGTTCAACACGCAGCTTCTGAAGCATCTGCAAATGCCTGCGCTCCAGGTCCTGGGTGGCTTCATCCTGCCGGATCATCAGGGCATGTTCCATTTCTTTCTGGATCCTCTTCTTGTTAAGCTCCTGGGACAAGAAGTTTGCTGATGACAATTTAATTTCACATGCTTCTTTAAGGTCATATATTTTAAAGCGTTGCAGTTTTTATACAGAAATGCAGATGACATACAACTCTAACACAACAACCAAAGGATAGCCACACTATATATTATATATATGGATTCATTTTACCTGTAGGTCAATCGTATATTAGATAAAAGTGCATTAACATTTTATTTCAGTGAAGGTGGTCTGTCTTCCACACAGCATACATCTGCTGCAAAACCTCACAAAACCTATTCTGAATTTTACCATAGTCAGTAGACAGATGCATTGTTGAATCTCTGTTTGAAAAAATGTTTCTAAAGTTCAAGATTGAAGATGCTTTATAGGTTGTGAATGAGCTATTTATTTGGCACACCAAAAATGTTACCATGTTAAATGGTTTCCAACTGATCAAGAATAGTTTGCACTTGTAACAATCCCAAATACAGTGGGTACGGAAAGTATTCAGACCCCCTTAAATTTTTCACTCTTTGTTATATTGCAGCCATATGCTAAAATCATTTAAGTTCATTTTTTCCCTCATTAATGTACACACAGCACCCCATATTGACAGAAAAACACAGAATTTTTGACATTTTTGCAGATTTATTAAAAAAGAAAAACTGAAATATCACATGGTCATAAGTATTCAGACCCTTTGCTGTGTATTTAGTAGAAGC